CCACGCAGTAGTGGCAGCACCATCACGGAGCAGCTCCTCTTGACAAAGCCGGGTCTTCTACTGGCCACAAAAGCCGACCATGCAATGTGGATGCGGCTGCAGGGCCACTGCAGGCTGCTGGCTTCGGAAGCAGCCAGGCTTGCAATTCGCACACCAGGTCGGTTTCCATTCCTTGAAGGCTGAGTTGATGTATAGCATAGTACCTCTCGCAGTGTTGGCAGCGTTGTGCTAGTAGCTTCTGGTCAAGCCGAGGTCGGCTGCACGGTGCTGGACGTAAGTTCCTCACCGGCACCTCCGAAGCAAAGACGGTCCCGACAGGGTTCCGGCGCTTGCTGCATCGCTTTTGCAGGGAGCACCTTGGCAGCTTGACACGGCTTGACACGGCTAGATGCCTGTGGACCCGTGTGCAGCGCATGCAAACACCGTGTCAGTGTCAGCCGCTACAAGGCGACGGGCTGCGAGCAGAACCGACGTCAGAGGCAGCGCTGCTGCAGGCGGTCTTGGGATGGCAGCAGGAGCCTTGATGTGTGCTATCTCCTTCAAACGGGTCTGCCAAGAGTTCGCGCGCTTGACAGGAGCTCCATTTGGACCACACTGGAAGGGTGCTCTCATGCCTTCAAGCTGGCAGTGTGGGTGGCCTTGTGGCACTCCTTAGCTCGCTGCATGCTGGGGCCACACTACTCAGCCCAAGCGATGAGCTCTTGCAGAAACTTTGTGTGAGTCGTGCGAACGTCCTGGCCTGCGAGCTGACGGACCTCGAGACCCTCACGGCCACCTGGTCTCAGGAGAACTGCCCTGTACGGCCGCAGCAGCTGTCTGCCGTTTGCGTGCAGGACTCCCCTGCTCCAAAGCATAAGCTCTAGAGGACTGACTGGTAGACGCCACAGACGTCTCTGGCAGGAGCTGACTGGGCAGTGGCCGTCCTTGAATTGGGCTCCTAGTCATCTCCGACTCTTGCAGATCGGCGTGGCCTGGGCCACGGCGCTGCCCAGAATGGCTGCAATCGACCTCGGGAGAGGCAGCTCGGCCATCAGCGCAGCATCGGCGAGAGGCTGGAAGCCTCTTGGGTCCTCGTTCTCTCCCGCGTCCTCCTTGACGCAGCCTTAGCTGCACCATGTTGTTTGCCCTGTAGCGAGAGCCTTGCAGGATTTATTGTTGTAGCCTGCATGTCAAACCCCCCCCCATATGAAACCGGAGCACAATGTGCCTGCTAACGCCTCCGGAACACCTCGAAGTTTACATTTCTGCATGTGGTCGCTTGCTTATGCTTTGTTGTCCTCATTGTGGTTTGCAACATGGGTGGTGGTGCAGTCGTCTGACACTCTAGCTTCGGCTCCATACTGACCTGCCGTGCCACAGAGCTGTAGAAACTTCTGTAAGCTCCACTTAGGGCTGGCTACATCCTGGGTCACAGCGAGGAGCACGAGAAGTCCTTCGGGCCGAACTCATGGCCTGTGCTTTGTGCCGTGGTTCAGGGTGCTGCGATTCTTGCTGCTTGCAAGCATAGAATATTCGCGCTCTCTGCCATGTACTGTAGACCTTGCTGCAAGTTGGCTTTCTGTACTTTGGCGAACCTGAGAGGCCCAGCCTGTGGCTGTGGCAGCGAAAATGGTCGTGGCTGATCGGCTGCTGCCGCCACTGGCCTTCTGCCAGCCATTGTGGATCTCCTTCCTTGTTTTGTTGGCCTGGCTGTTTCTGGAGCAATTCGTGCGGGTCGGAGTCCTAGCCCTCTTGAAGTGGCTGCTCATCGGCCGCTACAAAGAGGGTGATCACGATATTTACAGCCTGATGTACCTGCGTCACTGGCTCGTCGAACATGTCGCCAAGGGCACGATAGTAGATCAAAGTGCCCATCAGGGAAGCAGCATGGCCTTCTTGTTCATGCGCAACCTGGCCCTAAAGGCCGTTGGCGCAGATGTGTCCCTGTCCTCCGTGATCACGCGCCGGGTGGTGGCATTTGACTTGGTGAGCGTAGGGGACCTGGCAACCGTCCACGGGCCCAGGCACTTGACGGCGGTGAACTATGGCACCCGGCGCATGGTCTTGAGACGCGTGAAGGTTGGCGCAGGCGCATACGTGGGCCCCAATTGCACACTGGAGCCCGGCTGTGAGGCCGTCAAGAGCAAACAAGCTTTATAAAGACCGACTCGAAGAACAAATGAGATAGATGTGTGCTATGATGATTTGATGATTCGTGTGTGGTGATTGAGCTCCAGCGCCAGGTCGCGGCGGCCGGCTATGTGGAGCCGTTGTCAACCGTACACAGCAAGGTTGTCGTCGATGGCCGCGTCTGTGGCGTCCCAGCACAGCCTGTGGCTGGCGCCGATGCATCCCGGTTGCCGACGAAGGAAGAGGCCCGCTGCTTCCGCAACAAGGCATCGGCCTGGGCAATGGGCTACTGGTGTCTCTTGCTTCCCAAAGCCATGATGCCCTTCCTGGGCCTAATCTTTTTGCGGCTGCACTCTGGCTGCCCTAGCTTCATGAGTCAGCATCGTCCCGTGCTCACGGACCACACAGCACAGAATTACCGAGGCTTTGTGGCTATCCCTTCATTGAAGAACGCACGATGCACATCGAGCACACAGCATCTTGGATAGCAACAACAGCCCAGCGACGTCTCTTGCCTTGGCCCAGAGACAGGATGTCCTACCGCCGGAGCTCTTCAGCATGTTGCAGTGGGTTCCGCTCATAGCATTTGCAGCGCCTTGTTTGCAGCTGGCCCGGGCTTTTAACTTTTGTGCAGACCACACATCACTGCAAGCCGAGGTCTCAATGCTCAACGCGATCGGACAGCTTGCTGGCACAGCGCTGCTGTGCCGATTGCTGCCAAAGGTGAAGCCTCCATGCACGTACTCCTTGTTAAGCCTTCGGGCCCAGATTGCGGCTCTCAAGATGTCGATGTTCAAACAGGCCTCGGATTAAGGAGATCCCGCATCTTCTGTGGATTGCCGGGAGACTCTAAAACGGCCGTTGCAGCCTCCGCCCGCAGGCGTCGGAAATGATGCACGATGCGTCGATCGTGCCGGCCTTCACTCGCCTCTGCGGGGCCACTGTTGGACACGGTTGTGCCATGAGCCGCCAGGCCGGGACATGCCACGAGCGAAAAAGCCCCCAGTTAAGCCCCCGGCTGCGGTGGAGGTCAACGTTCGGGTTCTGGGTTTCTTGGGAGGTGTGGCTACTTGCCCCAGGTCCCTCTCAGCAAGAATTACAATGTATCCGGAAAACAGATCAGCACTCTCGTCGGTTCTTGTGGATCGTGACCATTCGTTCCATCGGTTGTTGGCCACAAAAACCTAGGAAACCCTTGAAAGGAACCCGGATCAAGTGCTGGCTAGTGCCGACCAATATCAGGCGTAGCTGTGTCGATCGTAACATGTGACTCATGCGCACTTGTTGCTCATGCTACTGACTAGTTATAGTTGCGAGAACCCTAAACCCNNAAACCCGAAACCCTAAACCGAAGTGTTCTGAGAACGCTTCTGTCTTCATCCCATTTTTCCCGGTAGGCGCTCATGCTCCCGGAGACCTTGGTGGTCGGCAACCGTTGCTTCTTTGCCACCGACAACATCCTGACCAGCGTCGAAGTGGACCGCGGAGAGTTCAAGGTGCCCTGTGTCACTTATATGAGCCGCTTGGATCGCTTTTTCGTGCAAACAAGCCACGTTCAGTAGTGTCTGCGGCGGCAGAGCAACCGCATCCCACCGCCTGCTTAAGGTGATCACACCTTCCTTGGCAACAACAACCACCTGCCGCAAGGCCTTCCAGAAGGCAGCTTCTGCGGCGTGAGCACCTGGCTGCCTGAAAGACCCACCGAGCCGCACTACTGCTACTTCGGGAATCCGGCGATCAAGTTCAAGCGCCTGAGCAGCCAAGCTGCCGGCAAGACAAACCAAGGCCCAGAACCCGCAAGTTGCCTGGCACGCTTCTGGCATCACTTTAGCAGCAGCGTCCTGGACGTCTTCCTTTACCGAGGGGTTCAAGGAACCGGCACCGCACTGCATCCAGTTGGGCTTTTTCGATCTCCACAATAGTAATTCAATACTAGTCCCCCTGGAAGGAATGGTGACCGGCGTTGCCTTCGTGGTGAGCCGGACCAGCGTGCCTGAAATCACCTCCGTTTGGCAGGTCTGCCAGGTCCTGGCCATCTACTTGGCCTTCTTGTTGCTTAGACAGACTTTAAACTTTTTCGCCTTACATGTTCGGTCTATCTTAGACAGTTTGAACTTTTTTTTGGGGCGCGTCTTTGAAGAACGGAGGTTGGGCTCCTGGTTCATCTTCTCTGTGAAGCTGGGGAACATGCTCTTCAACGGCAAGGCACCGCGCAGCAATGCGACCTGGCCGGACTGGACTGGCTCCAGCTTCAACTACTCGCAGGTCCCCTTTCGAGTCTTTGTGTTGTATATATATATATATGCATATTATAGATGCTGTATGAGCATACCAATTGTACAAACGTATGAATAAATCTACATACGCAGATAAATAAATGGATATATGGTGGCATGGCGACTGTCCTAGGCGTACTACTCTACCACTGTGACGCGCTGGTTCACTGCCCTCACCGGCCAGAAGCGAGTCTTCAAGCTTCCCTTTCAGGCGCACAGTGGCCTTCCCAGCTTGTCATTTTTAGTAGCTGTTTGGATGGCAGGCGGCTGGCAGCCGCTGGCAAGCCCCGATCCTGCGGCTGCTGGGTGCAAAGATTGGCCAGCGGTTCTTCTGCATGCACCCCGGGCCAAACTTAACGTAGCAAGGCGTTTCCTTCTTTGTGGCCAGGTGTGCACCCAGAATGGAGATGTCATGGCCACCATTGACTGTGTTCATCCACCTGTACGGTAGATTGAGGAACGAGCACGTCCTGTTTGATGCATCCTTCACAGAAATCGGAGACGATGTGACCGTGGACTATGATGGCATGGTGAGGTGTCATTCATTCGAGGAGTGCTGCACTGCAGGGGCTTGCTCGCCAAGTGCAATTTCCAATTCCATGCGTCTGCAAGTCCTACAGACCTCGCAGAATTTCGAGTGGTCGGAGCATGCTTTAGCATGTTTCTTTGAGGCGAGCTGTCCTGTTGCTTTGCAAGGTTTTAGACGTGTCGCGCTTAATTTTTGCGCATTTCGGCTTTTCGTGACTTGTGTCGACGTACTGTAGTTCGACTGTTCTACTCACGGCGACAAGCGTGCTCCCGGAAGACCTTGCTCGCCGTTGCCTTCGATTTTGCACCATGGTCGAATTGGTTTCGGTAGTACTGTATTCAAAGCTGTAGTAGTGGCGTTCGTTGGAATCGCCTTCGTTTTTCGTCACCGCCTCCGCCGGACTCCGCCGGCGCCGCCCCCGGCGTCATCCCCGTTTCAGCTGTACAAGAGTGGCACTACTAGTGTCGTGCGTCGTTGCTCATGCGGTTTTTTGCCACAGATCCATACATAAGCATCATAAGCCTGCTAAGCACAGTGAGGGGCTATGAACGTAGCTCGGCAAGGTAGGGCCGGTCCGGTAATAAACCCTAAACCCTAAACCCAGCTGGGGTAGGGGTGGCTGGGGTAAGGGTGCCCTGTTGCTTCGGAGCTGTGCCCCCTGGCTACTTGAAGGACTTCCGCCTGAAGTTCACTCACTGCAAGATTGGAAATGGGGTGACCATCATGACCGGAGCCATTGTGGCTTGCAGTAACTTACTTCCGTCCTTGCAGGACCTGAAAGCCGTATTCATGCCGCCGAACATAATGTAATTATATTAGATTAGATTATTTAATGGCTGCCGCCAATGCCGCCGACCCGGAAGACGGAGGCAGAGAGACCCGCAATTAAATTATACCAGCCTCGACCCCAAACAGCAATTGAGAAGTACCGATAGCAACTGCGCAATTGTCGTGCAGATTTTGGCTCGTTTTCGCTTAGAAGTTTCGGTGGAAAGCATGGGGGGGTGGGAATTATGTTGCTTGTCGGCTCTTTTGGTCATTTTGCGACGCTCAAAGCACGAAAGCTCTTTTAGTCAGCTGCGTCAGCTCGTCCATTCTAGTACATGGCCCCATCTTTTTGGAGCAGCGGGAATCCGAGCGGCCGGAATATATACTGGAAATATCACACTGAAATCAATGCAGCGCAATACAGGTGCAACGGCAGAGAGCTCTGCCGATCACATCAGCTGTCGGTGAGGTAGGTGACATCGTCATTATATGTCCTGGGGCGAGTTCAGAACTACCAGTGTCACAAGTGGCATACGCTCGCGACCAAAACGATCACTTCTTTTCCTTCCTTTCATGGATCTATAACTCGGACAAGACATCCGAATCACTACTGACTACTACTGACTACTACTACTACTACTACTACTACTACGTCTACTTTCTTTTCATCTGCCGCCGGGTTGTCTCACCACCAACCCTCCCTGCAGACGGCAGACGAAAAGAAAGTAGAACATCGTCATCATCATCATCGTCATCATCATCATCATCGTCATCATCATCACCGTCTTCCAACTACTACTACTACTACTACTACTACGTCTACTTTCTTTTCATCTGCCGCCGGGCCCTCCCTGTAGACGGCAAACGAAAAGAAAGTAGAACATCGTCATCATCATCATCGTCGTCATCATCATCATCTTCCAACTACTACTACTACTACTACTACGTCTACTACGTCTACTTTCTTTTCATCTGCCGCCGGGTTGTCTCACCACCAGCCCTCCCTGTAGACGACAGACAAGACTCTGCCAAACTCCTCACATGTTCGAGGCCGTGGCTGCCAGTGTCATCGCCCGAAGCGCAGTAACCCCGACTCCCTGATTGATAAGAAGAACTAGCAGAAAGATGACGGCAGCACGCAACTAATCACTAAACTCCGTATGCATGGCTGCTTTTCGTATGGTCATTTAGCAAGACACCGCAATAGATTGCAACTATTTACGCGGGTACCCGCGGGGTGCCCGCACACGCGGGTACCCGTGCGGTGCCCGCACACCGTGCCTGGCTTTGTTATACCGACCAAACAATTGCCCTCATGCGTGCAGTGGTCAGAACTCGTATAACCAAACAATTGCAAACGTGAATGGAGTGGCCAGAGTTCCTGCGTCATCTAGAATAGACGTCGCAATTGTTTACGCGGGTACCCGTGCGGTGCCCGCACACGGTGCCTGGCTTTGTTATACCAACCAAACAATATCCCTTGTGAATGGAATGTTCGAAACTCGTACAACCAAACAATTGCAAACGTGACTGGAGTGGTCGGAAGTCGTGCGTCATCTAGAAAGACGTCGCAATTGTTTACGTGGGTACCCAAGCGGTGCCTGCGCACGCGGGTACCCGCGCGGTGCCCGCATGCACGGTGCTTGGCTTTTTTACCTACCAAACAATTGCCCTTATATGAGTGGAGTGGTCTGAACTCGTATAAACAAACACTTGCAAACGTGAATGGAGTGGTCAGATTGTAGGGTCATTTAGACAGACATCGCGACAGTTTACGCGGGTACCCGTGCGGTGTCCGCGCACGCGGGTACACCCGCGGTGCCCGCATACTTGTTGGCTTTTTGTACCAACCAAACAATTGCCCTTATGAATGGAGTAGTCAAAACTCGTATAACCAAACAATTGAATGGATACTCAAAATTCGTATGGTGTTTTAGATTGACGTACCAAACAATTACCCTTATATAAGTCAAATGGTCAACTGGAGTGGTCAGAACTCGTATAAACAAACACTTGCAAACGTGAATGAAACGGTCAAATTGTAGGGTCTCACGCGGTGCCTCCGCACGCGGGTACCCGCGCGGTGCCCGCGCACGCGGG